GTACTTCCACCTATACAATGACAACAAGACAAGAAACTTAGTATATATATAAGAATGTATTTTGCCTAAAGCTAATCGTATGCCAGATTTCTCTCTAAGAAACCACTATACTTAATTAAAAATACTTTATGCGTTATGCAATAACTGCAGTCATGTTACATGATCTGGTCCTAACCGAGCTCTAGTGCTATAAATTGTGTCAAACATACCAAAATGCATAAAATACTGACAATTTATTATTTTTAAATACTTGCAATAAATGCATGGAAAAAAATTAGGTAGCAAATGAAAATTCTATTATAGCAATGGTTTAGAAAATATTTATCAAATGAATGATAAATTATCTCTTTATTAAAGAGGAATAACATTTGTTATATACTTTTATATTAATTAGTAATAATAATTAGTGCTATACTAAGTATATTTGATTGCTAGTCTGATTAGCTAATGTTTCAAAAAATTGTAATAACTCACCTTTTTTAAAGCGTCTTTTTTAAGACCAAATTAAAATATTTTCATTTAGAGGTAAAGAAATAAAATATATATATAGCACTTATAAGGCCAATTTTTTGTTTTGCATTACATGGATTTCAGAATCAACGGTCGGTCGGTCGGATTTTTTTATTTTTATTTTTTTATTCTACAGTAAATAATAGACCCATATTCACATTTAAGGTCACGAATAGTTAATTTTTCGCTTTACATAACATGGAATCAGAAAATTAGGTCGGCAATCGAATTTTTTTTTATCAGTTCTATCGGACAATTCCGGAAAAATAAGGTCTCTACCAGGCGATGCCGGATTAATTTATCAGAAAATAAAATGGCAGAATAGAATAATTGGCACACTTGGGACGAAAAATATATATATATATTGAAAAATTGAAATAAAATGGGTCGGCGGTAATGCAAACCGAAAAATCAACTTTGCGTGGCCTTAAAGTAATAAAGCTCCTCAAAAAGACAATTGATGGGGCACTAATTTTTTTTTTTTATTGCAAAATTTGAATTACCGATTTTTTTTTTAAATCTGTTCTAAACTTGTTACACTGATCAATTATATGCCAAGTTTACTTTGATTTAGAGACACCGGACAGATGCAATCACATAATAGATACATAATATGCGACTAATTTTTACTAAATTTAGGTTTTTTATGTGGCATTATGCGGTGAATTTTAAGCGCATAATAAAAGCATATGTATATAATTGTTAAATTTCTTTAAATCCATAATTGTCACATTATACTGTACAATGGTAGATTAAAATTATAACAATACGAAATATGTATATGATTCCTCGCATAAATATCACACAATTTGAAATTATCACCTCGCACGAAAATGCTTTTCAAATCGCACAATTTGGAGTCTCTACTTTGATTCATTTCTCTTGCATAAACTTGCATAAACTAATCTCTGCAAATAAAGTAAGCATTTTATGCTTATTAATAGGTGAATTGACGTGTGGCATCAAAAATGATAATGCTCACACCATAGCGAAATATTCACAATTTTTAGAGTTACTGATTTTAGAAATTTAACAATGTAATAAATGCAAATCAATTAATTATTAATAAAAGAAATGCAGTCAATCAATGACTTTATTTGGTCATTAATAATGGCGCAGCATGTTGAATTTGTCGAATAAATAAAAAATTTAAATTATCGTTATCGATATTTATATTTTGTGCATACAATTATCAATTAGCTAATAAATTCAAGGCATAGTTACTCGAACAAATAAGAAGAGCAATTTATTTGTAAAAAATATTGTTATCAAAGCTATAAAAGCTCAATAGTTTGACCTTTTCCAAGAAGATATTATCAAAAATAAAAATAAATAAATAAAATAACGGTACAAATCTTATATAACATTATTCTAAAAGAAAACAACGCACAAAAAATGGTGAAAATTCAATTATTATTAAAATAAAGTTTTTTTTTAGCAGTTATACTAAATCACACCAATAGTGCACGTATATGTTTAATACGTAGTTTACACATAAAAATTAGGGACAGGTACCCTATGATATATCAAAGTAATAGATTTATACTTTAGTTATTGTGAAGTTTTTGAATTGTTCAACATTTTATTTAGTATATCTGGTATTAGTTAATTTGTCAGCTTTTGAAATATAGCAACTGTGGTGTGATGTGATTTAGTAAAATTGTTTTTTAGTCTCAAAAATTCTACTTACACTAATACTTAATTTTGTAGATGTTTCGAGTACGCAATTTTCTTGTATTTTTTGCTATAGCTCTGCTCATAATGGTCCAAATCAACAGTCAAGTAGAATGCGCGCCAGTTACACCGATAGGAGGTAACTTGAAATTCTTATTATTAACTACCCTTAAACTCGTAATAAAATGTATGGCAAGTTCTGTTAATATTTATATATATATATATTCTAGGTTGCAAACCGTGTTCATGCCCTGGTACTGGCACTACTAGTACTGCTGTAAAACGATTTCAATATTACTGCAGATACGCTTGTCCTATGTGTCCTGAGACAGCTTAATTTACATTTTTCATGTCCCTTTAAATTTGTATCTCTAGTCGAAGTTATAATTTTTTATTAATTTCAGGCTTTATATTTAATATTATGATGTTCTTTAAAACCTGAACTAATATTCATTCAGTTTAATGTCTTAATGATTTTGGATGTAGTGAAAAGTTAGATTAATAATTAACTCGTATACTGTATTAAAATAAAATAATACTGAAGTTCTGTTAAAACGAGCTACATAAGACAAAATAACATGCTCACTTACCCATAAAATTAGTGGTTGGATCCGGTTTAAAGAAAATCCGGATATCCGGAAATTATTCGGATATCCGATTATAATTTACAATTACATTAAGACCGGATAACTTATAGAATTAAATCGGATATCCGGATTCATATCCGGTATAATAAATTAATTACAGTAATGACCTTTTTTTTTGTGATTGAGCATCTAACTAAATTAGTATCGTGATTATTAAAGTTCACCATTTACATACATACCGATACGTACTGACATAGGGCTAATATGATATGTAGCATGTGCCTCTTATCGTTGTATAATTTAGTAGGTTCCAGAAGCGTTCTTCTAATTATTAAAGAGAAGAAATTTCAATTTGTTATAAAGTGAATAAGCTTAAGTTTTCACTATAATCAATGGCCCTTATAAAATTACTAAGCTTATTAGAAACCTTGTATCATAGCTTCACTAGAACTAATACGCATCATTATGCGTCACTCTCTCAAAACTAGCCATTACGCCAGATTTTATTACTATATAATATACAATGCAGACACTTATTAAATTAAAAGGTTAGTATCCAGGACATACGATGCGCATATTTTTTTTAAAATTTTAATGCAGAAAACTGTGACCGGAAGGCCATAGTTCCGCATAACTTGATCGACAATCATGCTCTGGGACCCGATCGATGCATGTAATCATGATCAACCAAAATTGAATGAAACATGCATAATCGCCCCACAAACAAACAATTGAATGACTAGCGCATATAGCCAAATTGGAAATAGTTCAAGAACGAAAAGCCTAAGTTTCAGAATGGTGAAATAAAATGATGAATTATAG